CGCAAAGTAAACTCTAAAATTATGTTAAAAATAAATAAAAAAAATAATTTTTTAACAGGGTAATATATAAAAATATGTAAAAAATACGTATATGTTACGTTGCAATTATATATATCTGATACATAAATGATACATTCAAAGTTGCTGACATAGAGCCGTACCAGTATGTTACATGTACTGTACAAATAATATTACATTTAATATTTATGACACTTGTGTAATATAATATATACATCTAAGTTACATACTGTGGTTTGCTGGGTAGAAGCATCATGATCGATATTTTTAATATTGGCTTTGATTTACTACTATATTTCCGTTATGTCAATGACATTATTTTGCTCCTAAAAACCAGACAAATAATATTTTGAATACGTTCAATAACATTCATGACAGGTTGCAATTCACCATCGAACATGAAGTAAATAGGTTGATTAGTTTTTTGGATCTATCTCTGAAAGTTATTAATAATAGAATAATTATAGATTGGTTCCACAAGGAAACTTTTTCTGGCAGATATTTGTCTTATTTATCAGGTTATCCGCTATGCCATAAAGTAGGAACCATCTATAGCCTAGTTGACAGAACAATCTTCTTATTGTTGAATATTCTCCAGTGATCAAGGAATCAAGACAAGACGTGTTGCCACTGTGCTTGGTAACAGACTCAGTTAGACTGACTTCTTTATTTGCATACATACATAGGAGAGGGGAGGGCGCTGAGGATAAAACAAAATACTGTGCACACGCACGTCGCACTGCTCGTAGTTCTGTCGGTAATGTTCGCTAAATGACACTAGATATAATAGAGTGCGCATGAATAACTTATCACTTATCACACCCAATATTCCAACAACAAAATTTAGAGTTAGTTATCAATATCTTATTAAAAAATGGCTATCCGTTAAAGTTAATTTTTGAGAAAGTTCGAATTAGGAGAAAAGAACTGATCAACAATAAACTTAGAAACGTTTTAATTACAAAAAAAGCGGATGAAAATAATCTAAATGTATCAACTGAAGAAAGAACGGCAGAAAATGTGAAAAAGTCATAACCTTTCCTTATATTAAAAGTGTATCTGAGGTAGTTACATCTGTAAACATCTATAGACAAAAATGAGGTTTTAGTCGGATACAGATGTTTGAACAAATTAACCGACTTCATCAGGCGACACAAAGATAAAAACCCTGTTGAATCAACGAATAATATCGTATACAAAATAGCTTGTAAAAACTGCGATGCGTCTTAAGTCGGTTAGACCAAAAGGAAATTAGATACAAGAATGAAAGAACATATTAAAAATATCGATCATGATGCTTTTAGACATTCGGTTATCTCTTCTCATATAATATTATGGATCTAAATCTCACCTTCGACTGGGACAACAAAAGAATTTTAGATCGTGAAACAAATTACCACAAAAGAATAGTGTCTGAAATGATTAATATAAAATCACAAATTAATGATCTTAATTCTGCAAGTGATATCGAATTGCTGCATCCATAATACTTTAATTTATTAAAAAATATAAAAAAATTTCAAAATACGTTAAGTAACGTCTTATTAGTCTTGTATGTTCCTATGTTATTTATAAACTATTATTGGTGACCGCTGATACCGCGCAGTCTTTTCAGAACTCATTCGTATATTGTACATGACAGCGACTAATGTGAATTTATTCTCCTTTGTTTATGTAAGAAAACCTTGTGGATTTTTTACATCTGACTTAGTAAGTTTTTAATATTACTTTACATGCACTATTTATTTTTTATTTTAATTACGGCCATTTGAAACCATAGTTGACGATATTAACTTGGTTATTTGACAAATTTTCATAATACTTCCAACGGAATTTCCACTCTGTTGCAATGTTTTATAATGTGGACGAAAAGACTGCTCCAGAATAAAAAAAATTTCGACGACCACTATGATCATATTGACTCTAAATTGCTATTTCTTAACACCGATTACTTTATATACATTTTATATTTGACTCCTACTGCTTTACACTAATTTATTGTTATACATCGATTATGTGACTCATATGTTTCCGTTTGCTATTTATTTAATTTTTTGCGACTGAAGAAAGCTAAGTAAACCCGAAACATGTACCGCGCTTATTTGATTAGAATAAATTGTTTTATATTTAAGCGTCACCTCATTAGTGTTCGTTTTGACCTATTCTATAATTTGATTGTTTTTACATTGACGAGTGTTCACGCACTGGCGTGATATATGACTCCTTATCCGATAAAAGATTTAATTCTTTCTCGAAGTTGCGGGAACGCAAGGAAACTTCCGCCTGGTCGTCTCTGCGCAAACAAAGGCACGGAGCGAAAACATCCTGTTCTCGCTCATGCATGATCGCACATCGGTACACCGTGTGCCGAACGCGTGTCTCCTAATTGCCAATTGGTTCCTTGCGCTCTCGCGACTCGCTTA